TTACTTATTACTTCCTTGCAACAGTAATTAGTTACACTACTAGTTACATTACTTTTTCTTCATGCCCGACAGAAGTTGTAACTGTGACATAAATTTCTAGTGATTGATAGTCACATTCATGTAGAAGTGTTGTATTAATCTCATTAATTGTCATGTGTAACTTGAAGCTAATTATCATTTCTCCATTACACATATATATGATTATATTTCATTAAGTTTGTAAGAAACTTTAAATTTCCAAAAATATTTTTAATTATAGTAATATAATGTACTACATGCTGATCAGAGGGATGTGGGTGGGATGTAATGCCAGAGTAAAGTAAAGCCACAACTTACACACAAGTGCTCATGATCATCTTTTTTCCTGACAAAATCAATATAATGCAATATTTCTATCTGCTGAATGTAAGCCTTTCCATATTCCAAGCTTGCCTGCTGCACTGGGGACATCACATGCATGTGCGAGTCATGAAAATTATGAAAATAAATTTAGGAATTATAAGATTGTTAGATTTTAAATCAGTGGGGTTGAGGCATCAAAAGTAACTAAGTAACTAAACCGTTTTATAGATGGTAACTGTAATATTATTACTGAAATCTTATTAGTAATTAGTTACACTACTAGTTACTGCAAAAAGTAATATTATTACAGTAACTGAGTTACTAGTTACTGCCCAACACTGCTAATGAGTGACTAAGTCTAACTCTTAAAAATGGTTTGTATATACTTGGAGTGTTTCATAACCTAATTTAAGTATGCTGATGTGAAGGTCCACATGTGTTTATGACCTCTTAGTCAAGATCTGTCTGTTTATGCCAGCAGGGTTAGAGACATGAGCAGCTGTCTCTAACTGATGCCAATTTTAAAAAACACACTCCTAAAGTCAGCATCCAATTTGTTATGCAAATTATGTTAAAAATAATGTGTTTTATAGTTATTTTGGATATACAAGTTACTAATTAGACACAATCGCATATGACATTTTTACATGGATATAATATGATGTTTTTACTTTCAAAACTGTTTAAGTAAGACTTCACTCAGGAAAATTGCAAATATGTTATTTTTTTAGTTTATTTGTCATAAAAGGAATATTGAAAAATGACATTTAATGATAATTGTTTCATATATGTTTTTGGTTCAGAGTTATATTCAAATCGGGTGGTCTAGTGACAACACATGACTTTGCTATCTCCAAGCCACGAATACTTTTACTAAGGTTCACATCTCAGAATTTCCAAACCAAATTCTGTTTTCAACTTTGCACTAAACATCTTGGTTTCATTTCCTGTGTTCTCATACGCTCAGTCACTCCCCATATGACTAATTTAAATGACTTATCTAAAGACTGCAGACATGTAGCCCGTTACCAAAACTCAGGAAGAAATCATGTTTAATTAGAAAAAAATTTAAGTTGAGTTGAGTTTATTTTTTATTTTTTTCAGTAAAACCAAACAAAGTGGTTTATCATGAAGGGGCCGATTGTTAATACTCATGTGCTTGGCTTGTATTCATAATCCTCTTTCCTAATGTCTTAGACCTTTTCTTATCTCCTCACGGTTCTAAGACAGACAAAATACACAAACATTGTTGTAACATGTTACTCGAATGATAGAAAGTTGTCTCTTGAGTTTCTCTCAATTTTCAAACATTTTCTTTTAATATTAACTATTCACTCATAGAAAGTAGGCTAGTATATCTACAATGTAATACTATCATAGGTGTTTTTAACTTAAGCAATTTAAATAGACATATATTTCTATTTAAGCATGAGGGATCTATCTTTAGAGAGTGCAAATCCTCTTCCATCACCTGTTTGCTTCTCATAATACTTTGGAATAAGTAGGTAATGCTCTTTGCTAATCTGATCTTTGCTAGTCTTAATGGCTCACTCTGAATTAGTGGCCAATGCAGTCAAAAATTAATGTGATTAAAATAAAGCTTGAGCTCTGCTTGGGCTATAGGATTGGGGAGTTTTAGTGTGCGATTTGAATCATGATCCATCTAAACAGTTTGCCAAGAAAAACCCTGGAAACAGTTCTTTGCCCGTTTTTGGTGCTAACAAAGACCAATATTCCCTCAGGTGGAAGAGAGGAAATAGATTCTGTGACTGTATGAAGTGTTGGACACTGAGAGCATGTCTTAGATGGCTTAGCCTTAGTCAGAGATGGACGTAATCCATTGTGTGTTTTGTAAACATGACCCTGGGGGTATTTGAATGGACTGTACCTTCAGAAAAGAACACAGAGAAACTGGCAGGTTCAACCGTGTGACCTTCATATATGTATCCATGACCAGCCATCTAAAGAATTTGGATCACACTCAGATGCTAATACCAGGTGTACACTGCAAATATGACGTCTTCATATGTTTTTAATGAATCTCTTTTGTTTTTACTTAAAAATATCTAAAAATTCTCAGTCTGTGAAATAAGATAAATTCAATTGAGAAGCAATATTCAAAATATATTTCCATTGCTTTCGGACAATGTATGTTTAATAAAAAGCGTATTTCGTCTTAATACACCAGTAGATATCTGCTATAAAAATCTAAAAAATATAAATATAAAAAAATCTGCTGGTACAGCAAGACAAAATAAATAAACTTTTTGTAGGTAGATATAGGGTAGTACTGACATTTTCTGTATTCTGTATATGTCCATTTATTTTTTTTACTGGAAAAACTGGAAAAATAAGATAAAAATACTATATATAGTATAGTATATAGTACTATATATAGTATAATACTTATTCATTCATTCATTCATTCACTCACTCACTCACTCATTTATTTATTTGATCACCCAAAAATACAATTTTCCTAAAACTTTCTTCTCCCTCAGTCCATCAAAGATGTTGATGAGTTTGTTTCTTCATTTGGAACAGATTTGGCATTACATCACTTGCTCACTATTGAATCCTCTGCAGTGAATGGGTGCCGTCAGAAAGAGAGTCCAAACAGTTGATTAAAACATACAACAAGCAATTCATGCAACTCCAGTCCATCAGCTAATATCTTCTGAAGTGAAAAGCTGCATTTTAACCTTAAACCGTCGCTTCAGGCCAAAATAGTCTGTAATCCATATTAACCCTTCCTCCAGTGAAAAAAAATCCATTCCCTGTTGTCCTCACATCTTTGTTAAGAACTGTGGTTGATCTGTGCATATTTCACTCCTTATTCAGATGTGACATCTTTTTTTTACTGGAGAAAGCAATATTATGGATTGAGGACTCAGAAGCAATGTTAGCCAGAAGCAAGAGTTTGAAATTAAAAATGTTTAATGATGGATTTGTTGTGTGTAGGTGTTTTTATCATTGTTTTATTCTGACGGCACCTATTCACTGCAGAAGATCCATTGTTAGTTTATTTTATTATTTAATAATCTTCTAACAAAATGCAATAAATTGCTTATCATCTAAAGTGACTTTACTTTTTCTGCTGACAATCTGTAGGTGACACAGACTATTCAATAATTTTAACTCTAAGCAAATCAATGTTTTAGAAAACTCACATTCAGAGGCTCCATTCTGGTGTGTAGCACTTTTCACCATCCACTTAATTTGGGATGGATGAAATCAAGTTCAAAATTAAAAAAATTTCACTCCAAAATGCATCACATTATGAAAGTACAGTAGGTTGCTAACAGCAATTTAAGTTGACTTCAAATGCAAAATATAAATGCAAATCGGATCCAGGTATCAAAGCCACAGCAAGAGCAGAGCTGGAAAAGTGCGCATGAACTTTTCAGGTTTACATTTTCAGGGGGATAAAAATAAAGATTATTTGCATTCTGTGATCATTTGTGTTCATCGGTGGCGCTCTAAATGCTGGCACCTCTGAAAGCTCCTGCAGGTACAAAACCTGAACCCTCATGTGACCTACTGTGGTCTATTGCCACAACACTGAACAGACAACACTACAGATGAAGGGTGCGGTAAAAACTTCTAGGGACTGCCTGACTTCCTTCATAGCTACTTAATAGTGGAAAAACAAGGACTTTTTATAGCCCACTCACAACAAACAGAGATTTGGGGGTGGAGTGCTTTATTTGTGTTTGGTGGTGAGGTTTGCAAACAGTTTTTGCTGAGTAGTGAGGGATGGTGTTAGTCAAGCAGCTGGAAACAGAAAGAGAGAAGAAAAGGAGGGCAGGAGGAGGAGAAGAAGGACAAAACAAGAGACGCAGAGAAAGGGGGATGATCGTATCCATATGGTGGAGCTTGTGTTCTTCACTTCCTGGACAGAGAGAGGGAGACGGAGAGAGAGGCTGGAGGAAGAGAGAGAGCTGGGAAACCAAAAAATAGTGAGAGAAAAACATCTGGAAGCATAGCACAGTAACCCAGATCTTCTGAAGCTGTGAGTGGATGACCGGGAGAGAGCTGTAGAGTCCGATTCAAAGCATGTGACCATGATTTAGTTACAGCATGATTGTGAATGGGACATGATGGGTTTTTCTGAAGATCCCTGGGAGGGATAGAAAGAAAGAATGAGAGAGACTGGAAGTTCCTAAAGCGCTGCGGTCCGGTTCATGCATCACTGATGACGTGAGGTCACTTAGAGGAATTCAGGTTAGTGTTTAAATTTTTTCTGCTCTCTTCCTCCTCTGCCATCTGGAGCTGTGAAACACTTCCTTCCATTTTCCAGGGGTCCATCTGTTCTGATTTTACGTCTTCCAGACGTCTTCCAGGTCTAGTTCTTAACCTAAGGCTTGTTGGTGAACCTCTGGCTGGAGTTAACTGTCCTTGGAGTGAGAGAAAAACATCTGGAAGCATAGCACAGTAACCCAGATCTTCTGAAGCTGTGAGTGGATGACCGGGAGAGAGCTGTAGAGTCCGATTCAAAGCATGTGACCATGATTTAGTTACAGCGTGATTGTGAATGGGACAGGATGGGTTTTTCTGAAGATCCCTGGGAGGGATAGAAAGAAAGAATGAGAGAGACTGGAAGTTCCTAAAGCGCTGCGGTCCGGTTCATGCATCACTGATGACGTGAGGTCACTTAGAGGAATTCAGGTTAGTGTTTTAATTTTTTCTGCTCTCTTCCTCCTCTGCCATCTGGAGCTGTGAAACACTTCCTTCCATTTTCCAGGGGTCCATCTGTTCTGATTTTACGTCTTCAAGACGTCTTCCAGGTCTAGTTCTTAACCTAAGGCTTGTTGGTGAACCTCTGGCTGGAGTTAACTGTCCTTTAGTGGAGTTTGCAGACATCAGCTGAAGTTCTCAGAGGGGTGTTGCCTTGCCCTTATAAGGCAAAACCAACAGAGTGAAAAAGTATTTGAATTTGTGGTGGTACTGCTCCACTGCCTTTTCATGTCTGCACAGTCTGGAGCTGGTGCTTGTCTTCACTCTTGGTTCCTCTTCTTGGATATGTTTGCACAGAGGATGTTTGCTGCCAGACAATAGGAGTGTTTGTCAGTGGGGTGGGCAGCATGCGTATGGACGCTCTGTCATCTACCTCAGTCTCACTCTCACAAGTGGAGTTGGCGCAGATCACGAGAGGAGGAGGCCAGTCCTGGATCTGCCCTCAAGCCAAATACGCATTCTGTCTTTAAAACGCAAATGCTCATGGGAAGGCAAACACAATAGACAGTGGTAACAACAAAGCTTTTGGATGTCGTAACACCCTCTGGATCTGATTCTGCATGCTGAGCTTCTGACAGAAACGGGATGACAGTATGGACCTCCGGTTTTGGCATCACTGGATATCAACAATATGAGATCTTTCAGCTCACTTGTTTCAACCACTCTGGTTTTTGGAAATTAGACTGTAGAATACTCTGCTAGGACGCTCTTTTGAAAGCATCATGACAACAGCGACGTGGTACCATCGGGACATCACCCGTGTTCGAGCCGAAGAGCTGCTGGCCTGTGCGGGGAGAGATGGCAGCTTCTTGGTGAGGGACAGCGAATCTGTGCCTGGAGCCTACGCCTTGTGTCTGCTGTGAGTAAAACACTTCAAGAGTGGAATACACTACACAACTTCTGCACAGAATTGCAGATGAGTAATGAGTTAATGCTAGCTGCCAAAAGGCAGAACCAGTTTGCAGATTTTGGGTGGTTAGAATTGAATGATTTCATCCAAAATTAACATAGTGTATAATAAGCAATTTTTTTATGTTCAGAGTCAACAGAGTATGCTTTCAACCAGTCAGAGGGTATCAAATATGTTTGATATTTTTAGCCAGATTTGCAACACATATAGTCATGCATCTTCTAGCAACGAGGTGTATGTTTCTGCACAAGTTTGTTGTGTTCAGAACAACATGAAATTTGTCATAAGGGTCAATTTTTTTAAATTGAGATTTATACATCATCTGAAAGCTGAATAAATAAGCTTTCCGTTGGATGTATGGTTTTCTGAGTATTTGGCTGAGATACAACTATTTAAAAATCTGTAATCTGAGGGTGCAAAAAAAAAAATCTAAATATTGAGAAAATCGCCTTTAAAGTTGTACAAATGAAGTTCTTAGCAATTCATATTACTATTCAAAAATTTAGTTTTGATATATTTACAGTAGGAAATTTACAAAATATCTTCATGGAACATGATCTTTACTTAATATCATAATGATTTTTGGCATAAAAGAAAAATCATTTTAACCTGGACAATGTATTGTTGGCTATTGCTACAAATATACCTGTGCTACTTATGACTGGTTTTGTGGTCCAGGGTCACATTTGGTAGTGTGTGATTATCAGTCGTTTGGTGTGTGATGACCAGTTTTCCAAAGTGTATGGTGCCTAGCTTTTTAAAAACTGTTCAGATTTTAAAAAGTCATATAGTGTATTCCAGCCTTTACACACACTTGTTTGAGGTGTGATAAATTTACCTAGAATGAGTTTGGCACCACACCCAGCTGTCTATTCACAGCACTTCCTGGTGACAATAACATTTTTAAGTAAATCACAATAGTTACCAGGTATTGCCAATAAGTCAATGAACTATTGTAGTCCTTTTCTACAGTCTGTGCCTGTGAGATGGATTTTTACAGCCATGTGTCTGCCTTCCCCATCAGGTTTCAACAGAACTTTGGCAAGATGGTGACTGGGCTTACTTTTCAGATAGTTTAGTACTGTCTATCTCAATGCACATGAGCTCCAGGAGACAAGATCCAGTCTACAGCAGTCCCTCTAGGCCCCAGCTTTATTCAGGCCTCAGTTTTCCCTGTTTTCCTCCTGTCTCTGGCCCCTGTAGGAGGGAACAGGCTCCAGTGACCGCACTGCTTTCTCTCCACTGCAGCCCACAGCCAGACACATTCCTGAAGGCTGAGCCCTCCAGCTCCAACTGCTCTCCCTACTTTCTTTCTCTCTCATTCATTCTCCTTTTCGCTTGTTGTCTGACTCTGGCTCATTCTTTCCGGTTTCATCGACCATGCTTTGAAAATACAAGCTTCTAAAAAATGGCATTCAAAGAGCGGGTTATTTTATTTGTCATTATGCCTGATGGTTTAAGTAGAGAGAGAGAGAGAGAGAGAGAGAGAGAGAGAGAGAGAGAGAGAGAGAGAGAGGGAACAGGCTCCAGTGACCGCACTGCTTTCTCTCCACTGCAGCCCACAGCCAGACACATTCCTGAAGGCTGAGCCCTCCAGCTCCAACTGCTCTCCCTACTTTCTTTCTCTCTCATTCATTCTGCTTTTCGCTTGTTGTCTGACTCTGGCTCATTCTTTCCTTTGCCCTCTACCTCATCTCTTCTCTCTGAAACAGTTCACATGCAAAACATCTACTCACACAGTCACACTTCCTCTCTGTGCTTTGTTCTCTTATTTTAGATTACCTGGAAACACTGAGCTTTCTAATTGTCTTCATTGGACTCAGTTGAATATGTGTTTCGGGTTGTGTGGCCAAATGCAAATGAGCACAAATTCTGGTTTATCTAACCTCCTATGGGCACAGAAATATGATCTTGTATGATATGACACATACTGATGGCCTCAGTGACCACATTAACAGGCTGTTTTTTATTTGACTGTGGCCTTGTATATGGTATAAATTAACTTTTACCCTACTTTCAGAATTGAACATGCTGCCCTGTGGTGACTATGGAAACCATCAATGTCAGGTGTGCACACAGGGCCGTCCTTAGCTGACGCAGGGCCCAGTGCGAGGTAGGGAGCGGGGCCCCCCTCGGTTCGTTCGTGATCACGTTCGGGGGGTAGGGTGGGTCGTTCCCCCTCGGTCCATTCACCGAGGGGCCCCCTCAAGCACGGGGCCCGGTGCGACCGCACCAGTTGCACCTCCCTAAGGACGGCCCTGCGTGCACTCATTGTTCCATAAAACCACATAATGTTCCATTTATGTGATTATTTAAAGGATTGGTTGGCTATCTATTTTCCACTAAACATCAGATGAGAGGTTTAGCAGGATGTCTGAGCTGATATCTTCTGTACAAGCTGATGAGATCTTAAGAAGGGCAAAACACATTTTAAATATGGTACACAGAACATGTGCAGTCTTATGAAGCCAGTTGAGTTAAAAATAGACTGTAGTTTAAGTTGCTCTTCAGTGAAAATCTTGCTTGACAGTCGTGGTCACCATTCACTTTCATTGTATGGAAAAGAGCAGCACGAACATCCATAGAAGAAAGACATTCACTACATTTTGATTGACACAAAATAATATTTTTGGATGAACTTCTGCTTTAAGAATATTTATTTTACTGTATTATCTTAGATTCAACAGTCTGTCTGTCTTGTCCATAGGTTCCAGCGACATGTTCATACATACCGAATCCTCCCTGATGCAGATGGGTTACTGGCTGTACAGGTGAGCAGACAGAGGAGTTTGCTAATCATTTGCACAGTCACAAGTATGAAAGAAAATGCAGGTGAAAATTATGCAGTGTTAGGCAGGATACCTTAAATGATGGTTTTACCTTTGAATGAATTTGCAATTTCACATGGAAATTACTTGACACTCATCTAGTTACTTTCACTTCTTCTTCTTCTACAAAAAAGAGAAGCAGACTTATTCTTGTCTGCTGTCTGAAGCATGCAGCTGCGTGGTTTCAAATTGACCTTGGTGGCACTCGCTGTCAATAAAATGCTTCACACAGATTCCTCCTGCACCCACGCTCCTGATCCAGTTGGGAACGACTGGAATGGGTTTGTCTGTCTGTGTGGAGATTAAAATATGTGTGACATAATTGTTTCTGTGTCAAAGATTCTGGTCACACAGCAGTACTAGATGCATTGTTGGTCTTTTTGCTAATTCTTATCTATGCATAGATGAGATATGTTAGTGTGTTTCATATAGAAACACTCTTAGGTTAATGCCTGTTTTTAAAACACAGAATGGATAACATATACATGCACAAGAAGAGTCATATTAAGTTGCTTTGTGTTGTGAAAAAGAGGCATTTTCTGAGTATTCTCCCCCTCCCAGTGTCTGATTTCTTTTAATCGCTTTTCAAGAGCTGCACTCTTGGAAGGAAAACATGCTGCTATTTGGAGATTTTAGGGCAAATAATGAAACGTTTTTGCCAAAATGGTTTCATCGACCATGCTTTGAAAATACAAGCTTCTAAAAAATGGCATTCAAAGAGCGGGTTATTTTATTTGTCATTATGCCTGATGGTTGAGAGAGAGAGAGAGAGAGAGAGTGTATGTGTGCACTTGTATGCACAGTGGGTAGCTGGCTAGTGGCTGTTCGCGGTATATAGAATTTGGCAGATGCAAAAATGAGGGCATCAAAATGTAATTGTATCTTTGGTCCATAAAGCAGAAAAACTGAAATGTTTTGGGAGTTACCCTATCTAGACCAACTTCTTGTTGCCTAGCAGTTCTGCAATTTCCGCCTTCCTTTTTTAGTTTATGCAGGATACAGTGTCTCAAATAATTTGTTGTGTGTAGGTCTGTCAGAACTCTAAATATTTCTTATTTTTGAAAAGGATAGCAAATTCTAAAATATAAATAACATTTTTTAAATTATTATGCTGTGATCAAAAAAGTTTAAAAACGAAAAATTTCAAGATCTGTCATCGTACACATTTTGTAATGAAATTTTTCACACTTTTGATAGTATGATTTTTCCTGTTAATCTTCTAAAACACTGATGTTCCCTTTCCACCTTCCCTTAATCAGGATATAATTGTGAAATTTGTAAGTTTAAATACTTATGTTGTCCTGATCTCTGAATCTGTTTGCCTGTATGAGTTGTTGAGTTATGTGTGGCCTAAAAAAGCCTATATTCACCACACTTTATGCATGCCAAACACAATATCTCAAAATTTTAAAAAGCATTCTGAAAAAAATGACAAGTACAGAAATCTCAATAAGAAAATGTATATTCCAATATCAGGAAACATAATTTCTATCTCTACACAGGATTAATGATCTACTGTGTTAATTCATTTAAATGAATTTAAAACTCTATTAAAATTGTTTAACATTGTATTAAAGGAACACTCCACTATTTTTAAAAATAGGCTCATTTTCCAACTCCCCTAGAGTTAAACAGTTGAGTTTTACCGTTTTCGAATCCATTCAGCCGATCTCCGGGTCTGGCGGTAGCACTTTTAGCTTAGTTTAGCATAGATCATTGAATCTGATTAGACCGTTAGCATCTCGCTCAAAAATGGCCAAAGAGTTTCTATATTTTTCCTATTTAAAACTTGACTCTTCTGTAGTTACATCGTGTACTAAGACCGACGGCAAATCGGCCTAGAAAATCGCAGCTTTTCATTTTCCATGATCTATGCTAAGCTAAGCTAAAAGTGCTACCGCCAGACCCGGAGATCGGCTGAATGGATTCGAAAACGGTAAAACTCAACTGTTTAACTCTAGGG